GGAAAAAATGCTCCAGGAGAATCTGAAAATCCTCCCTTCCTGGGGGCCACTCTGACCTTAAACTTCTCTCCCAGCAGCTTGTGGACAATTTCCTCTTCCTCGTTTGCGGTTTTACTGCAGAACTGAGCAAAGACTTTGATCCACCAGTCCTTGTCTTTAGCCTGAAAGAAAGACCGAAAAGCGGAACATAAAGGGAGGGAAAAGAGCCTCCATTTCTATGAGGGGAGCGGGAAAGGCAGAGGCACCTCTGCACACAGGGATGTGCCTGCGCACGCACCCTGACAAACGGAACGATTCCCATCCACCGAGACCCCAGACTGGGCCACGTACAGCCCCATGTGCACAACACACCTGCTTGACGGTTGCAACCATCCTGGCCATCAGCATGATGCTGGCCGTCTCCGGCGGGTAGTGGACATTCCTGGGAAGGAAAGAGGGACAGGCAGTTTTTCCTCACACGACCCGTATTGAAACCGAATGGTTGTCTGGGCAAACCGCGGTTTGTTGGTTCGACCTGGTGCCCACGCAGCACCTGCTCTCCCGCCTCCTCCACGCCACCGCCCACACACGAGCAGCAAAACGCTTCCCTCGCCTGCCTTCTCCACGCGACGGCCCACTCCCCCGGCAGGGCCGCGGGCCCTGGTCCCTTGTCTGAGCGGATGATCGCACGGAGACGGAAGTGCGTGGCATGCGCAGAAAACCTGTGCCGGCCAAACCGTGGTTCCTGCCCATCTCTACGGTCGAACCATCCCAAAAGCGTGCCACGTTAGACCACGAGGCAGTGGTGGGCGATTTTGGAACACCCAAGGGGGCATTTTCCACAGCGGGCCACATTAGCCTTTGAAAATGTGGGGAAAAACTGGGAGTGGGGGACGAATCCTTTCCTCTTTCTGGAATTCTAGATCTGCACCCCCTGCCCTCCGACTTTCCTTCTGAGCTCTTTGAAGTTCTTACACACAAACAACTGTTTGCTGTAAAAGCAGTGTCCCGCACCTTGTTAATTAATGGCAAGCCACTGCTGTGACTAATGCTATTATGCCAGCACAAACCCCCCAACAGGATTCTGGCTGTTCTTTAAGAGCCATTGTTGAAACCAGTTTTGAGCAAAAGGGGGGGGGCGGGGGAAGGACCCCGGAAACAGTGCAGTCTCTTTTGCCTGCCGGGAGCTCAACAAGGATGAAGCCACCCTGACGTCCTTAGCAAACTATTTCACAGCCCTGACACTGCTATAGAGAACACCCTGATGTGTGTACTCGCTGCTTTTAACCTCTCAGGGCGATGGGACACACAGAACGGATCAGGTTTATAGTCCTGGGGTGCTCCTGGGACTTGGCCCCCTCTATGGAGAATCTGTGGCCCCTCTCAGTAGGAAATCCCTTGTGACATTGGTTCATGGGCTGGCTGTCTCAAAAATAGACTACGTGGGGCTGCCCTTGAAGGCATTTCAGAAGCTGCTATTCTTGACACTCAAGTGCCTCTCCCTAGAACGGACCCCCCCCATCACACCCATATTTCCCGAGCAATGGGGGGGGCACTCCAAAGCAGGACTGGAAATCCACTACTAGGAACACGGCTTTCTCTGTGGTGGCTGCCACACCATGGAACTCTCTTCCTGTGGAAGTACTCCAGGTCCCATCCCTCCTTGCCTTCAGGAAAAAAAGGAAATACCTGATTCTTGACTTCCATACTGCTGCCCCTGATTTAATTAATTCTTTTTGTCTCTAAAAATTTTTATGATGACTGATAGTTTGGTCTACCACCATCTCATATCCTAGTACAGATTTTATTCAAGTTGGGGTTTGTCTGCTGTCTTGTTTAATGTTTATTTCTGGTTTATTATTGTATTTTAGTTTCTGTTGTTGATACTCTTATTGTACCCTGCCCATAGGAATGGCCCGGCCACTGGATTTAAAAAACGGAATTAAACAAGCAAACAGACAGACACAGCCTCTAGCGACAGATCTCAAATTCCAGGCAGGTGCATAAAGAAAGCATCTTTTTTTTTCCCCAACTGTCCTGGCTCCAAACTGCTCAGGGCTTTGCAGATCAAAGCCAGCATCTTGAATTTGGGGACACCCTGCAAGCCGGCACAGCTTGTTCAAGACCGGTGTTGCACGGCTTCTGAACTGCAGAGCTCGGAGCAGCTCGGGCGCTGCAGGCTGACATTCCAAGGACCTTGACGAAGTTCCAGTAAGTGAAAATTGGAAGCCGCACAAGGAAGAAACCCACCCATCCCTGATCCAGCCGGCTGAACCCTTCAGCTCCGATTTCCAACCGGGTTCCAAGAGCCGAAAGACTCTGGTTTTTTTCCCCCCCACGGCCCAATCCGCTCACCTCCATGCCTCCTGGAGTTTGTTGAGGGGATGGTTGGGGTCCTGCCTGGAAGGTCCGAGGCACAAGACCTGGTGGTATTGGTCCCAGGCGGCCTGCCGGCACTCCGGACTGCAGTAAGCCACCTACGGAAACAACGAAGCACAGGGGAGCATCAGTGGGGCAGTTCAATGCGCAGGGACGCTGGGAGCCCTGTGACTCCTCAGAGAAGGAAAACGGCCACAGCGAGAACGCCAAGACTTCATTAGCAGGATACAGTCAAGGCAAAACCCTGGAGGGTTCATCCAGAGGGCCATGCACGGTCTCACACGCTGGTTCCAAAGCGCTCAGCTCTCCTCTGTGCCCTGCCCTTTCCATCAAAAGACAGGTGGGCTTCCTCGCCTGACGTCTCCACCAGTGGTAAGGTATCTCTGAAGTCAGCTGGAGAGCTGGGGTGGTGGGGGTGGAATCTAAGTACCTCTGAGTTCCCTCTTCTCTTCTCACTTTCCGTTTTTTTTTTCTCTGTCCATTTTCTGCATTTTGCCCAGCCCTGGGAAAGAATCAGAACCACCGCCCGGACTCCAGACCTGTCCCTGTGCGACCCGCATGCGTGAGTCTGGGTTCTGGCTGGCTGCCCCGCAGACCTGGGATCTCCATCTTCTCTACTCCTCCCTCCCCATCCCGCCTCACAAGCCTGTCGTACTGAAACCCTGAAACACCCTGAAACCGCACGGAGGACCTGGGCGCACAGCTCCCTCCCTCCCTCCCTCCCAAACTCAGCCTGTAGCACCAGGTATTCTTTCCATCACCCGACCGGCCGGCAGCCGCAGCGCCTTACAAAACGACCGATAAAGTCACAGAGATCATTCTCAGCCCCGAGGGGAATACAAAATGTGTTCGGAGTCAGCAGCTGACTCCAAACAAGAGAGACCCTCTGTGACTCCTAAGCCGCTCGGTCACAGGCTGTGTTTTAGGAAGCAGGAGTAACGGCAGCAAGCTGCCCCGAGTAGACACTGTCTAGGGAGGCAGGGTAGAAATCGAATGAATGAATGAATGAATGAATGAATGAATGAATGAATGAATGAATGAATGAATGAATGAATAAGAGGTGTCCCCCCCCAATGTGGCAGTCCCAGATATGTTGGCGAGAAGCCGCTGTCCCTCCCTCCCTAGCCTGCAGCCCCCCCCCCCCGATGTGGCAGTCCCAGATATGTTGGTGAGAAGCCGCTGTCACTCCCTCCCTAGCCTACAAGACCACCCTGGGCAGGGCAAAAGGAGTAAAGGGGAGGCCTTCTCCTCGTGAGTCAGACCCTTGGCCCCTCTAGACCCCAAGATGGCCAATGTGGATGGCCAGCGGCAGGTTCCCCAAAACATAAGAGCAGGGAACTTTTCCCCTGCCCTAGCTGGAGAACCAGGGGCCTGAACCTGCCACCTTCTCTGCCCACAACGTACAGATTCTGCCACGGACCTTTCAGCACATTTAGAGGGCCGTTGGTTTTGGGAAGGAAGCAAGGTTGCTAATCAACAGGGTCTCAAATGTTTTTCTTTCTCTCTGTATGAATCCTTGAACGTCACCTTCCGATTCACACAGGTCCTTCAAGAGGAAAATGTCACTCTGAGGTGCACCTGCGAGAAGCCTCAGGGAACCCAGGCAGCCTTGACTTCAGAGTAGACCCGTCTCTTCCAGCCGCTTTTCCTTTAAATGTTTGACCAAAGGTATTTTTTTAAAAGGGAGCATTTTATTCTGTCTTTCACTGTGGCTTCCATCTTGCTTTTATTATGAATTGCACAATTAATGATGTACTGAGAATGTATTGATTAGTTTTTTTAAAACTTTGTGTCTTTTATTCCTGTAAGCCCCCCTGGGGGGGTCCTTTAGGAGAAAGGCGGCCTATAAATAATTTAAATGAATAAATAAAAATAAATAAGTAGACAGGACTGCCCAATATAAAAAAAATCCTTTTATCTGGAGAAAAGCAGCCTATCAAATAAAGCAAGCAAGCCAACAAACAAATAACAAAAACTTTCCCCTTCTGGGAGGCAAGAATTCATAATGATTGTTGTGGTTTTTTTCTGGCTCTTTGGCCGTGTTCTGAAGGCTGCTCTTCCTAACATTTCGCCCGTCTCTGTAGCCATGGGCATCTTCAGAGGAACAGGAGTAGCATAATGACATGGGCATCTTCAGAGGAACAGGAGTAGCGTAATGGCCTCAAGGCACCCAAATGATTTTGAAAGCGAAGCAGGGCTAGGCTCGGTTCGGCTTTGGATGGGAGACCACTAAGAAGGAACCACGAGGGGGTTTCCGGACGGGGAAAGGGAGAAAGGAAGCTCGCCCGAGACACCTGGAGAGAGTTGCATCTGCCAGCCAGAGTTGGCAATACTGAGGCAGCTCCCTCTGTCCCTGGACTGGCCTGTGTGGGTGATGTGAGGAGGCCTTACCTGGCAGCCGGGGCAAAGCTGATGGAGGTCTTTGCGGATGCTGCACTGCTCCGGATGAGACAGGGCCTGAAATCTCCCGAGCAGCCGTTGGGCGTTCTCTTCGGCCGTTTCCAGAGCTCGCAAACAGTGATCACAGGCTGGAAGAGGTTGGAGGAGAAGAGAAAGCCATCTCTGCTGGAGCCGTCTGCCCTTTTTAAAAAAAAACCTCGATCCTTTTTTTTAAAATACAAAACACCCCCAACTATCTACTGTCTTCTCACGATGACCCAACTGGAGTGCAGGATCCCTGCCATGAGGTCCATGATGGGCACCCAGTTCAATCGGGAGATTGGTTTTAAAGACACCCTGAGGAAAGCTTAAACCGGGGTGTGGGTGATCTTGGGGAGGATCCCCCTCCTGAAAAAAAAAACATGGCCTGCCAGCAAAAATGGGCCGCGCGGCTTCAAGCCACATGAGATTCCTCGCCTGCAGAAGAGAGTGAGACAGGAAGGGTATCTCTCCTCCACCCCAAATACCAACAGGGAGGTATTTGTGTACAATCTCTCTTGACAAAATGGGTGCTTTTGAGAAACAAAGTACATAAAACGGACACACACACCGTAGGCCCTAAAAGGCAGGCTGATTGGTTAAAAGACACAAGCAACCCATCCACGGCTTCTAATCCTTAAAAAAACCCATGACACGAAGCCGCCACCCTTCCCCACCATTTGGGCCCCTGCCATGGCTGCACATTTTTGCTCCATCGGCATCAAACCACCCTGTTCTCGTGCTCGTCCTGAGCGTACCACATAAACCCCTTGCCATCTCAAAGGGCAAGGAGAAACAAGGATGGGCAGGGGGCTGCTGGAGACCAAGCCCTAGGAGGAGGAAAGACTGGAAGAACAGGGCAGGCATAGCCCAGAGAAAAGGAAACTGAGGGGAGAGAGGAGAGCACTTTTCAAAGACTTGAAAGGCTCTCCTACCGAGGAGGGGCAGGATCTGTTCTTGATTATCCCAGAGCGCAGGACATGCAACCATGGGCTCAAGTGACAGGAAGCCAGATTTCAGCTGAATATAAAGGAAAAACTTCCTAACTGTTAGAGCAGTTCGACAACAGAACCTCGAGAGGACTGTCCCAGTATGACAATGGAGCCCGTGACCTCAAGAGGACTGCCCCCCCCAAATAAGTCTTACCCAGAAACATAGGAAAGTGCCCACAAGAGACATCTGACTACAACCCCCATCGTCCACACCTGGCACGGGAAGACTGCAATCCAAGGCAGCCTTTTGCCCCTCTTTTTAAACCAGATGGAAGAGATGTCCCCAGTTTTCTTTGGTTTTACTTTTAAAGGGGCCACCGGGTTTCAGCTTTTGACGAAACCGCCTGGCACAGGTACCCCTCTCAGAAAAAAAGTGAATAAATTAGTTCTGACATACCAGGGGAAGATGCCTGGGAGGTTTACCTAATTTTATCCAAGGGGCGAATCCGTGGCCACACAAACATCACTTCTTCTGACCGCCGCTTCCAGCGGCCAAAGCTGGTGGCCGGAATGCAGGAGAGGCCACCTTCGCTGGAGGGGTCCCCCCCCAACCCAACCCACTTCCCAGCTCCAGGCTTGGGATTTCAGGCAGGTGGGCTGGATCTGGGACAGGTTTACTCCGACGTGGGGATCCCCAGAAGCGCCAAAACAAATGAAAGAAGAAGGCGGCCATAAAGAAGCCAGCCTGCTTGGGAACACGGGTCTCCTCACCTTTATATTTGTACAGGGTGTTCCAGAGGAACTGAGCGGACACCACCGGCTTCTCCACAAAAATCGTCTCCCCTTTCTGGATCTTCCGGGTGGCGAAAAGCCCCTTCCCCTTTAAAGGGCGAGAGAGAAGAGCAGCTGGCAGAGAGAAACCCTTCTCGGTGGCGCGTCGGGCGGAATCCGAAACCGCGGCGCGGTCTGATCGCCCGGGGGCGAGTTCTACCGGGGATCCCGGGAGAGCGCAGGGAGGGAGAGGCGCTCTCCGCTCTCCATTGAAATAAGGGGGGTGTGTCCATGCGCCCCCCCCACGGCGTGGCCCCCTTGTCCGCTTGAAAAGGACCGTCGTTTTAGCAGGCGACCCCCCCCGGGCTCAACAGCACCTGTTCTTGCAGAGCCGTTTGTTCCATTTGGAAGACAGGCTGTGTTGTAAATCAGCCAAACCTTCTGTATTGTAGGGATGGCAATTTATGACCAACCGAGGCCTCTTGCTGACAGCTATTTAATGTGTAAGTAAAAATGGCCTACCAAAACAAACCTGTCCCTTGTAAGTGTAATTTCTCCTACCAAGATTTATGCTTCATGTAAATGTGCAAACTGCCAGTTTAAATATCTTGCCATAAAAGTAGCATAAAACAAACAAGACCAGGCAAAAGTCCTCAAGAAATGAAGCTGAGCCTGACTGCTTGGGCTCTAGCTGTACATGTACCACTTCTCTCTCTTTATCTGGGATGTCCCTTTTCTTTCTGTCCTCCGTCTTGCCTTCTAGGCAGATGCTGGCAAGACTTTCAGAAGTTGTTTTTGAACTTTTCCTTGCCACCTCTCACATGGGGAGAATGAGGCCAGTCAATGGATACTTGTCATGAAGGCGACTTCTTGTCTCCAGTATCAGAGGCACTATTTTTCTGCATACTGGTTGCCATGAGAGGAGTGATGCCCTGACGGACTCCTCAGGCGCATCTCATTCTGCAAAGAGATTGGATAGGCCTTTGATCTGACCTCGCCGGCACAGCCTGGCGCCCGGGCCCGGGGAAGGCATCCCAAATGGTTTGCATAAATTCGCCTATTGCCGGGAGGGCTCCCCAAAAAGGACCCTGCGGAGCTGAAGCTCCCCGTTCCGGCTGGAGAGGCGCGCCGGCATCGTGGCAAGGAGAGCGCTGGCGCGGAGCCCGCGTGGCAGGGGGGCCAAGGATCGGGCCCTTCT